TCCAAACGACTCTTCGCCACCACCCACACCCAGCTTCCCGCCCTATGACGTTCGGACACTTCACTTCGTGGCATGCGGACGACCGTGGCTACTATTCAGGGCCCCGCGGCCGACGACGACGGCGTGCGCGCGCGAAGAAAAAACGAATGTGTCCCGCATGGTATTATTTGACAGGGATGATGGCCCTGGCAGGTGCGCAACCGTTGTCGCAGAAGTTCGAAAAAGTTGCTCGCAAAAGCCCGTTTGACAGAAATGTTTAAAAAGTGTTGGGTTTCCTACGAATCCGCAAGAGCGCGCGGGATGAGATTTTGACAATTTTTTGTTGAAAAACCATTGGTTTTTTGATGTTTTTATGTTAAAATCGCTGCGAACACTAAGGTTTTGGAAGGATTTCGTCTTGCGCGCGCGAATGTCCACTTTACCTTATTTTTTGCAAGGGATTCTTGAAATTTGATTATATTAGAACAAGAAATGTCATTTTCTATTGTTTTTTGCAAGGGAAAGCGGATTACAACAAAACAACCGGATCCTGTACACACCCTCTTTTCTGAGGCTTCCTCACGAAAATGATGAAAATGTAGCTGCGGCCTAGGCGGCGCAGGGGGGGCGCGCACCAGGGGGCCCAACAATAATTATTCTTTAGAATAAATAATGTTCAACAACAACAACAACAACAACGACGACGACGACGACGACGACGACGACGACGACGACGACGACGACGACGACGGCAACGACGGCAACGGCGGCGACCACGGCGACGACGCGACGACGACGACGACGACGACGGCGGCGACGACAACGACGAGGACGACGGCGGCGGGCGGCGGCGACCGCAACGGCGACCGCAGCAGCGGCGCCGAAGGGGGTCGGAAGGACAGCGCCGGCACGAGCGCAAACCTCCCGGAGGCCCGCGCGGAGGCCCCGGATCGGCGCCGGAGCCCCTCTCGGGGGCGTCCGAGGAGGGGGGGGATCGTGCATCGCTGCCCGAGGCACGTGCGCGGCCCAGGGGGAGGCCAGGGGATGCACGAAGGCAAGGAGAGGGGCCACGACATGCGAGGAGATATCATGGCCCCGGCCATGATATCCACACACCCCTTGTCATCAACCCCCCTCTTTGCACGAAGGCAAGGAGAGGGGCCACGGCATCCGAGGAGATGTCATGGCCCCGGCCATGATACCCACACACACCCTTGTCATCCCCCCCCTCTTTGGGGGAAACCGACGGGGCACCGATGCCGCTGCTCCCCGGACCACTCGGGGTGCGTCCTCACCAGAATTCCGAAGTGAATCCAGCGGCGGCGACGAGGGCCTCCCAGGAGGCCCAGAAATGGGAAAACGGGCGGAGGGTAGAGGCACGGGTGCGGCAGGGTCGCGTCGTGCCGACTCCGGCGTTGCTGACACCGCGGGGATCAAAACTTACACGATCGGCCGTTTCAGAAAGGCCCGATGGGCCGCCTCTGGGCCACAGGCGGCGTTCGACTTGAAAGGCCCGCGCTGGGGTCGCCGCTGGTCGGCACGATGCGAACCTGCCGTACCTCTCCCTCGTCTGAGGAAAAGCTCCCTTCAACAGACATCATGTTTTTTGTTTTTTTTGTAACGTCCACCCCCAAGAGTCTCGACCCACTCCCTGGGAGCGGTTTCTCATCCTGAGTCGTTTCTTAACGGACCTGGGGGCTGGCGAGGGCTCCCAAAGGCCGAACGCAGCGAAAGACCTCGGGCCGTAATTCTTTGGCCACTGCTCGAGGGGAATAATTGGGCCCCCCTCCTCTCAGTCAATTGAGCAAGGACCGACCGTCCTGGCATTCCTATAGGCCTACCCGAAAGAGTCTCAGAACCCAAAAATGGTTCAATAACAAAAACAAGAGTCTTAGAGCATGAGCCCGACGTGATAAATAACAAGACAGTCCCGGCCATACATGTTCTTAGAACACTTCGTGGAAACCACAAAAGGGTTCTGAGAACGCTGTTTGGTAGGCCTATAGGCACACCACAGGACGCTCCGCCACTGCTGGACTCCCTGGGACCCGCCTCTCATCCCGAGTCGCTCCCTGACGGCCCCGAGGGCCGGCGAGGGCTCCCAGAGGCCGAACGCGGCCAAAAACCTCGGGCCGCAAGCACTGATGCTCCTCCTCCTCCTCCTCCTCCTCCTCCTCCTCCGCCCTTCGCCCGAGCAGCGCCCCGCCCTGCCGCGGGCCGCCCGCCGCCCGGGGGTTTTGGGCCGCCGCCCTCGGCCGCCACGGGCCGCGCGGCGCCGCGCGGAGGGCCGCCGGGGGCCTGCCGTCGGCCGGGGGCGCGTGGCTTCGCCGGCCGCCTCCCGCGCGGGGGGGGCGCGGCCGCCCGGCCGCCGCCGACGGCCACGCCGCCGCCGCCGACGACGAGGACAACGACGACGACGACGACAACGACGAGGACGAGGACGACGAGGACAACGACGAGGACGAAGACGACGAGGACGAGGGCGAGGACGGCGAGGATGACGACGAGGACGAGGACGAAGACGAGGACGACGGCGGCGACGACGTGGTCGTAGTGGTCTGTTGGTCTGCGAGGCGTGGACTGATACACGTCCCATGGGGGGAACCGACGTCCTGGGACGCCAACGGACGACCACCGCTGCGGACAAGCGCCCACGGGCCTGGCTCAAACTCAACTGGGTGGGTGAGTCCGTGGCTTCTGAATTCAGGCATGCCTGGGCAGAAACCCCCGCCTCGGATTATCGTCGCGGCCGTCGTCGCGAACAGCGTCGACGCCGCCGCCGTCGTCGCAGCGGCTCGGGCAGGGAGGGGAAGGGGACAGAGGGGAAAGCAAGAGAGACAGAAACTCACACTGCAAGAAATTTGCGCGGATTTGTCCATGGGTCCTTCGGGCCCCGGATTGAGCCGGAGTCAGCACGCTCACCCGAAACGCCGACCACAACGTCTGCAAGATGATGGACATCGGCAGAAGTTTCCAACAGCGCCCACGTGGCATGGACACGGCCCGAACAGAATTGTCATGATGCACATAAGCATGGTGTACAGGAGCCCGCCAGGAAAAAATGTCGATGCGGCCACTGGTTTCTTCAGAGTTTGCCCTTGTGCAAGAGGTAGCCCCGCCGCGCGCAGGTACTGCGTGCGCGGGGGCTACCAATGGGAAAGGGTGCGCCCGAAACCAGAGACGAGATGTGCTCCTCTGAAGTGGTACGCCACCATGCCGTAAGCAGTATGTGGAGTGTCGTCGGATCCACTTGAACCTTCAATATTTACGATTGCTACCATGCGCACTTCTGTGCGAATCAGAAGCATCTATTGACGTGGACGCGTGGAATAGACTTGCTGTTTGGTGAGGGACAACCTCAACATCTGACATTATGAAAACGCGACGTGCCTCATGCAGATCGCGCTGTCACGGTCCCAAACCGCATTGGTGCTTGAACATTGTTGACCGAGATGCTCAAACACCTTGGACTCCAACGATTTGGACAACGCTTTGGTTTCCCAGGCTCTAAAATGTGTAAAAACTGTTGTATATAGTTGTTCCCTACGGGGTGCCGTCTCTTCGTTGCCCACACGGGTGCCTCTCAACAGCTCATGTAATCGCAAGCTGTGCCAGTCTCCATCGGTGACACCCCGCTTACGTTCCACTGCAGTCGCGGGGTATGGAGACTCCACCTGCGCCAAACTCATCGCAAGGTGATGCAGACTTCCTGCGCTCGACTGCGCCCAGTGCGGTGTACAATTTGTTTTTTGATAGTTGTTCAACGGCATTGGTAAATTCATTCAACGACGGATTTGAATTTAGGCACGCTTGTTCAGTACAGTTACGTTTACACACACATATATACATATAAAGTCGGGTGCCCAACGCTTCGAACATGTTCCCGACGTTCTTGCTTACATCCCCTGCTCGATGTGTAGTTGTTTTGAGCACGCACGTGCCACTTGCAAATGCTCCTTCAGTGCACCACCCCGCCCCTCAACTCACCAGCGTTCTCGGGCGCTCCCGCGCCTTCCCGCGATGTGGCGCATGACTCTTCTCGAGGCCCCTTGAGCGTGGCTGGGGGTACACACTTCCCACGTGTCCTAAAATGGCCCACAGGGGAAATCCTTGGGTTCTCCTGGGCCGTTTCGGGGGCCGTACTGGAAGCTCTGGGAGCCTGCCCAAAAGGTCCTAACCATTGAACAACATAAGTCGCAGCGCCGCTTGTTCTCGACGCACCCAATTGGACGACGCCGCCACCACGGCAAACCCACGGCAAACCATGCGTCCCGCGCCCCAAGTAGACGACGCCAGCACCGCGGCTAACCCCACGGCAAGCCCACCGTGCCCGAGGCGGCGTTTGCCCTGGTGCCCGCGGCGCCCTCCCGAAGGCGTTTAAAGGCCGCGCGTCGGAACAAATGGTGCGGCGACATTGTCCCTTGCTTGTGTAAAATTAAATATTTTCGGCATTACGAGTGTCTGCGGCGGCCCAAGAGGCCCCAAACACAGCTCCAGGACTGCCCCCGAGCCCACATGAGGCCCAAGGCGACCCCGCGAGATGCACAGGAGGGGGAACACGAACAGACCCCAAGAGGCGCCTCAAGAGGCCCCCGAATGGCCCCCTAGAGACCCGCAGGAGACATCAACAAAAAGGCCTCCGGTCCACAGCCCAGGCAGGGTGGCGGGTGGTGCCGACGGCCACCCCGGGCCACCCCCGAGGTCATGATTGTTTCATGACGTCGACCCCAAGGGTCTCGACCCTTTCCTGGGGACCAATTTGTCGTCCTGAATCGTTGGGTTGACGGTCCCGCGGCCCGGGAGAGGCCCCCAGGAACCGGAAATAGTGCAAGCTTCCCGTAGCGATTTCTGCATGACACGAGGGGGAGGAAGTCCAGGACTCCGACCGAGGAGTCCGAGGAGCCCTTCGCGAGCAGGGGATCACCTGCGAAATTGATTTACCCCACGATGCCTTGTCTCGTCGGATGCACAAGAAGTGCGTGACATGTTCGCGGATCTACGAGCATGATGCGTATATTTTCCTGGGCTCGATGAACAGATTGATATTGGGGTGAAGTCGATGCAGTAGTCGATCCCCTACTCGAGCTCCGGAGGCCCGGCAGGGCCCGGCGAGGCTCGCAGTGCCTCGGCAGGAGGCCCCGGGCCCCTGGCTCTGGAGATGGCGCTCCCTGGCCAGCTGGGCGGGCACGGGGCAAGCACTCTTCCTTCAACGTCGCCGGCAACATTCAAGCAGCTCTTCAGCACCATGGGCCCCCTAGACTGTCTCGGGCGGCCTCTTCTCCTTTTCCCAAGAAGGCGCTCTGGAGAACCAGACCGCCTGGCTCAAATACCGAGCTTCTGACTGGATCCTCGTCTGGTCTTCTCGCCAAATGGCTCATGTACAACATCTGTCTACACGCAAGACTATGGCTCGGAGGCGTCTGTTGGCTGATACGCAGAACTGTACAGTTCGACACCCGACTGATGTACGACGGAGAGACTTTGCAAATTCGTCTGAGACAATAATTCTGGAACCCGTCGAGCCGTCTTCGCTCGGCTTGGTTAAGACACGCAGTGAATAATACATACGTGAGTTTGGAAGCAATGCAAGCATTAAATATACGTAGCTTCTGTCTCCTACTCAAAGTCGAATGCGACCATATTCTTGCAAGCACCTCGACAGTACGCGTCCTCCGAAAGACGGCTCTAACCTCTAGCTGGATGCTCCGGGCCCTGCGGGATCCGCGAGCAGGGCCTGGCCTGCCCTGCTCGCAGGAGGTCGAGGC